TCTTTCCCTTCTTAAGTTGAAAAAACTCAAAACTCGTTACGAAAGGTGAATCTTATTAATCCGTATTTGAAACAAAGAAGACTTCAAACTTTTCATAAAGACAACCCTATATAAAATCAAGTCTTAGTTGAAAAGCTAGACACTGAAATTAAGAACTGCAAGAAGAAATAGACGAAACCCATGCACCATTTATTTTGAATATGAAAAAGGAAAAAGGGGGAAAACATTGACAATGTAGATCTATATTTTGCTAGATTTGCAGACTATAAATACTGTTCTTAACTCATAGCATGAAGTAGTGATGCAACTCAAAGAGAAATAACTATTTCTCCACTTCTCCTTTCACTAAAAAAACTCAAACTTTAAAACAAAAAATATATTTTAGTTTGAGATAGAGATACTTACATAGGTGTTGAGTTGCCTAACAAAGCTTGAGAAATTATTGTGCTTGAAGTAATTAGGCAAAATATCTCTAGAGAACTCAGGAGGTCTCCATACTACAAAAGTTGAATCATCTTCACCCCAAGATACAATGTGATCAGTGCAAGGATCATCAACAAGCTGATAGGTTTTAATGAGGAAAGGAGCAGGAACAGATTTATTTGATTCCATTGGTAGCAACATCTCTCTACAACTCTCAACCAAGAAAGACATTGGTACTACTACTAGCTCTCTCAAAATATGCACACCCTAAATAAGGACATAGGTACTTATATAGAGTAACTTAGTTCAGGGATGACTTTATAGTTAATTTGTTTCTTTACGATTCCAGCTTTGTTTGAAATTTTTTGAACCTTTACATCCACAGCTTTTTTAAAATGTGTATATCAAAATAATGCCTTTACTGCAAGTTGTTTAGGACTCTTGGTAGCCTATTGGAATTCGTGAGAATAATCATATTTTATTACATCAATTCTGATGATTTGATTCACTAGGATTATCCTTCACAGCGCAAAAGATGAAATAAAGTTGTGTGTAATATAGCATTTTGAGTGGAAGATTCTCTAAATTTGAATAAAAACTTACAACAATAATCACACCTTTTTGAGCTTTGAATGTAATGGAAGATACCCTGTAACGTGGTATCGGAGCAGTTTTGTTTCAGGTTTGCGTGGTTGTGTAGTTTTAGCATGTGGCATATAGTGCGGTCTCGTTGTTTTCAAATATGTTTCTACTAGTTTTGTAATTGACCTCAATTTTGTGCTAAAGTAGAGGTTTTTTTGTAAGTAGTAGGGGTCTTAGAGTAATTTGGAGTTCATATGACAGTCAAGGTTGAGTCTGTTCTTTCATGAAATATTGGTGTTGAATAAAGCTTACAGTTCATACAAAAAAACAAAACATGATATCAGAACAATTGAAATTCAATTTTCACAATGATATGCATTTGAAGTTAGAAAAAATACAACTGTGTAAAATAGTCTATGATTCAATCCATAAAAAGACGCTCAAGCTAGCTCTGGAGAGATGATAGAGTATAAAATTGTAACTCAAAACACTCATGTTAATGATATCAAAAACAGTATTTTGTGGTCCGGCCCGTAGTCACATATGAAATAGCTGATGAGATAAATTTAGCAAAACTTTACCCACAGGATCTCTTGTAGGAAAAAGATAATGTCCAACTTAAAGTTGTCAATTATATCCTTTACGGCGGAAAGTTAATTCGAGGTTTTTCGCAGTGTTTTCCATTTTCCCTATCAAGTTTCATTTTTTAATGTAGTCTTATTATTAAGTTTCTTTAGAAGTATCAATGTATCATGCTAGTTGCTTCGCTGGCACCATTCTGTACTATACACAGAGAAATCAGATGGCTCCAATCTTCTCTAGTTTCTATTGATTCTTCTTTTGAAAATTTTGCAACATCTAACTTTGTAATCTCAAGGCAAGCCCGTGACTTGCATGCCATAGAAAATAGGAAGGAGGGAGGGGAATATCTCTATTTATTTTCCCTCTCTTAGCATATGCACTGTTGATGAAATATCATTTTCTATTGCACGGTTATCTTATTGGCTTGCATTGTGGGATTCAAAGATGTTGCTTCTATAAACAAATAAAGGTACCAATCTTTGAAAAAACAAACATTCTTCACCTTCACAATCACAAACCCACATGGAAACAAATAAACAAAGCTTCTCAAGAAACATTAGTACCCATCTCCGGAGATGGGTTATCATGTTTTTTTTGTCTAGATGAGTGAGATGCTTGCTTGGGATTTGGGAAGAGGTCTAGTGATAGTCATGTACACATTACAATATGCGTAAAAAACTTCATATAGAACTGTTTACTCTGTTACTGCCTAACTCCTAAGAAAAAATAGGGTTAAATTCACAAAACACCCCACTGAACTTGCGAGTTTTGGACATAGCCCCAGTAGCTTTTATTTTTTAACCTCCCAATAAGGAGAAAGATATATTGTCCTGTTATACTATCAATTTCACATCAGTACAGTCATTGTAATATATAGAGCAATCACCAATAGTACTTTATTAATGCAATTAGAATATCTTTTTTGTTGAAGTAAAATGCAATTAGAATATCATATAAGCACAATCACAATATTAAAATTTGTGCGGATAGACATGTGATCTACTCTTTTTGTATGATTTTCTATAAGAAGATCTCTATAGATTTTTTTTCCTATTCATGTCATCTCAATAAAATTTCAATAGCTGTAATATGCTCATCAAGCCCAAAAATGTTTCACTAAAAGGTGTGCTAAGCTAGAAATCACACAGAAAGAATGGCATTGATTATAGCAAAGATACTCTCAGTTAAAAGGAGTTCAAGCTATGTTTAGGTCTCCATCTATCAGTTACCTTTACTACTTTAAAGTCTTCCAAGTATCAGTTATTTTAGTCAAAGCAATGAGAGCTACATCAATTTAGGCCTGAGAGTCTGAGACATGTTATCAGTGATGCCACTGACAAGTTAATAAACCTATACTAACAAAAAAGAGAGAGACTTTATCAGAAAAATGGATAAAAAATTGGATTTGAAGGTAGTTAAGGTGGAAACAATTATAAATGATTGATGTCCTCTGTATTAATAGTGCACCAAAATGATACTAATAAATTAACTTTTCAAAAAAATCTACTAATCTAACAGTTCATATTCACTTGATACATCATTTGTTGGGAGTACTGCGTGTGTTCTGAGGATTCACAAATTTGCCGAGAGAGAAGGCACAAAAATCAACTAATAATAGCACAAACTTAAACACAGAAGTTTAACGTGATTCGGCAAATTGCTTATGTCCACGGGACAAGAAGGGGATGCGTTTTCACTATAAAGAAAGAGAGTACAAAATAGAGACTACAAGATCACTCAAAAGCTCACAAATAATCTCTCAAACTAAACTCTCAAATCTCTCACAAAACCCTCAAACAAATTACTCAGAAAGAACTCTCTTTTCTGTGCTCAAAACTCTCCTTCAAGCTACCCCAAAACTCAATCAATACGATCGGAAACCCTAAACAAATCGTGTTTCTATTTATATTAAATAGAATCTCAAACAGTGCAGGAAACTGAAGCAAGCCCAGACCCGACTCGCGGTCGACCGTCGAGATCATCGCAGTAGACTGACTAGAAAGACAGAAACATAAAATCGACTACAGGGTTTGGCGGTCGACCGCGACCTGTGCCGAAATCTTCCCTGTATTGTGTACGTTTGCGGTCAACTGCGACGAACTCGGCGGTCGATCGGACAACACTCAAAATGTTCCCAGCTTCAAATTTCTTGAACCTCATCAATGTGTTTGTCGTTTCTATAAATCTCCACCTCGACGAAGTTTTTTCAAAACTGAGCCGACACCAACCAAACCAAATGTCCCACTTGTTGCGTCCAGTACGAAGTGAAATAATTCACAATAACAGACTCAATCCACAACAAGTCAGGAACCCAAATGAGAATGCGAACAAACTCCAAAACATAGGTATTAACCCATCAAATCGGCTGCATCAAAAACTGATTGCCTACGTATTCTTTTATCCAAGGAATCATGTCTCACATAGTTCACCCAAATGGTTGCAAACGACCTCAATCAACTAGAAGAATTTGCAATTCTTCGCCAACATCTCAATCATCAACACTAACAAATCTGCAACTGATAACACCTGCTATAATTTTGAATCCTGATCCTGAACATCAAGTGTCTGATCCTCAAACCCATCATCTGTATCACCATCAACATTATCTCCAATCTGTGTCACCCCAGGTAGAATCCCAATCAATATAGAATGATCTGAAGTATGTGGAATAGTCTCCACACAATATGAAGTAGCATCACTCTCCACCTGCTACGGTACATCTATAATCTATCCCAAACTCTCCACCTGCTGAGAGTCAATTGTCTCCCTCATCGAAGCCTTATCAAAAGTGACATTCCCAGACCAAACTTTCAATTGAATTTTACCTCCTATCACAGTAGTTCACAACCCTTTAATAAGGTGACTCGAATATGTTGAAGCCTTAGTCCAGAAACTCTTTTACAAACTATTGCTTGACCACAGACATCAATCCTTCTCTAGCAAGACACGGTTCTCCAACTTTGACACCCCATCTAGTTGCCCTAAGATTTCCTCTCCAATGAAGTGTCTCTAATAGCCTTGAGCTCGGTACGAATACAGAAACAGATCCCTCTTGTACTTCTCACTAAAAATAGAACGGATGACCTTCATCCTTCTGCATTTCTTACACTTCTTCAACATGTTGTAGACTACTAGGACTTCAGTCAAACGGGACTTGGTTGCAATCCAAACATGCCTAGAACAGTCATCAACAAAGGAAACCAAATATCTATTACCTCCCAATGATGCCTCCTTGGAAGGCCCCCAAATACCCACGTGAACTCCATCGATAAGACCCTTAGCTCGGTGAATAGAGGTGCTAATTTCACATTGGTATTCTTGCTCACATCAAAATATTCACTGGACTTCAAACTGCAGATCGATGCACCTTTCTCCAAATCAATACTGAAATGACCAAGCCTCAAATGCCGCAGTTTAGTCGAATCAATAGAAGCTGTCAGCTCTCCACCTGTCACCGTATTTCTAATCAAATAGTACAGGTTATTATTCCTGACGCCCTTCATCACAATCAAAGAATCTTCCACAATCTCAAGAACCATGTCCTCAATACGAACTTTCGGACCCTCTCCAACTAAAGCTCCAATCGAGATCAAGTTCTTTCTCGAAGAAGAAACATATCTTACTCCATATAACTCCCTAACTATCCCATCAAACATCTTGATGCAAAATTTACCTATCCTAAGGATCTGGCATGCATGGTTATCACTCATGTATACCACACCACTATCCAGCTTCTCAAAACTAGAGAATCATTCCCTTTTAGGGTACACATAATAGATTATACCACTATCCAACATCCACTCAAATTCCTCTGAATAGTTAACTATAGGACTGATAGAAAGTGAATAAACATATGAGTCAGAAAGATTACCATCTGATACGATAATGTTTGCTTCTGATGATGGTTGCTTTCCCTTTCCCTTTTGCTTGTTCTTCATCCATTCACTAAGCTTTGGACATTTCTTCTAATGACCAGTCTCTTTATACCAAACACACTAATCTTTGCTAACTGTAAGATGCCCTACTCTAGACTGTGACTTCTCATCCTTCCGGTTTGAATTCTTCCCTCTTGCGATCAATGTCTCTGCTATTGTGTCACTTGTAGACTCCTTATCTTTCTTCTTTAGTTGGTAATTCACAAGAGCAGTGGTTATCTAATTATACAGAAGGGACTCCTTCTTATTA